GTATTTCATCCAAGTAATTGCCATGCAGTTCATTTATCTAGGCAACCTCATTATCAGGTACCTCCTGAGAAATAATCCCAATTAACGGATTCAACAATATTTGCTGAGTATTTGCCTCATGCCAAGCCCTGAGTGGGTGCTGGAGACTTGGCCATTTGTAGGATGTGGTCTTTGCCCAGGAGGAGTGACACTGGGTCTGGGGGTATTTTGTGGGCACTGCAGGAACCGTGGCCTTAGTCTCCTAGAGTTGGTGGAAGGCATTGACAGTGGTGTATTAGCAGTGTTGGGAGAACAATGAGCAGGGACAAATTAAATAGTGGGGGGAGGGGGCAGGCTTTCAATTCTCCCAAGAGGAAGTGATTTTCATGTTGCAGTGGGGGAGGGAAAAGGCATGATCCTAATTACACCACCATAGAGATGTGCTGTGTAGGCTCCGTCCTGGGCTTGACTGGCCGAGGCGCCATCTTGGACGTGCCCACTCCAGGATGGTGGCCCTTCCATGCTCACAGAGCTGGGGCGTTGGGGCCCCCATGTTTGTGGTGCTACTTCAGCCTCCCTGAGCCTCTGGCTTAGCTCTCTTATCTCAGAAAGGCATTTTATTCTTCGAGCCCAGGCAGCCAGGACCCAAGGAGCTGTTTTTCCTCCATTGTGCAAGCATGACAAATCATTAATTTTTGATTGATTTGCTTAGAATTATGGGCGCCCCAGCATTCTTTCCGCCGCTGAACAGCTGTATAACAAATGAATATATCAGTGTGCACAAAAGATTGGAGATCTAAGAGAAGCAATTACATTGGCCACCCTCCCCCACCCTCACCCCTTCCCGGGCAATGAAGGGAGGAAATTTTTACCAGAAATTCCTCAAGTGGCTTAAAAAAAAAAAAATGCCTTTTTTTATAATTGAATTAAATCTTTATCTCTTTATCTTTTATAGCAGATTTCCAAACACACATCAGTTCCCCACATGCTTGGGTTCTATCCATCCAGGAGGAATCTTTAATAATGAAATTTCAACTTGTGAATTAAAACCAAAATGGGAAAGAAAAAAAAAATTCTACCCCTCCTTCTTTTTTTTTTTTTCTTTTTTTTTTTTTTGGTTGCTGCTATTCCTTTAAGATTTTGGAACCGTACCAGTGCACTAAATGTGACCTCCATAACTTTTAAATTAAGAATTTATGCTGGCTTGAAATTTATGAAATATTTCAGCATGAAAGAAAGCCTTTTTCCCTCAGGAAAATTGAGCAATAAATCACAGCACTGTGGATTTACTGCCCTAGAGCCAGCGAGAGATAGGATTTTTTTTTTTTTTGCTTCATTCTGAAAAAAAAAAAAATGTAATCATATAAGACAGCTTAGCTGCTGTCCTCCCACTCTCTAGAATTTTTAATTTCAGCTGTTTCTGCTTGGATTTATTTCCAATATTCCTGCTCGGCTTTTCAATTTCCTCAGTTATTAAATTTTAATTCAGTGCATTAGCATTTAAATTAAAAAAGGGTTTATTTTATCGAAATCGTTGGCCAGCCCCCATCCCGTAGCACACGAATTGCCTGTTTCTGCCATTTGCACAAAATGTGAAATGCAGCTAATGTCTTACAACTTACATTTGCACAAATTTAGAAATAAAATTTCTGGGTTTRGAATAATATTTTCTTTCCAAGAAAACCCTTAATAAGAGAATGGAAAAGAACAACTTAACATTCATTTGGGAGGGAAGAGGAAGGTCGAATGAAACCAAAAATAGCCATGCCCAGGTGCTGCGGGGAAGCTGGTGGAGAGGGAATAGGTGGGGTGGGAATGGGGGTGGGCACTTGGATGGGGGCTGGAGGGCTTGGGGTCCACGGCCACCAGCCATGGGAGAGTGAGAAAGAGGACCCCGTGGGTCATCTGCCCTCCATTTTTCATTTGCCGTAGAGGGGTCTGTTAAGGTTGGGTCAGCTCAACATGGAGGGGCAGAGAAGGGAGGCTCTGATCCAGCCCTCTGCCCTGCTCCAGCCCTCTGCCCTGCTCCAGCCCTCTGCCCTGCTCCTGTTTTCACCAGCAAAGACCCTCAGCTCCAGAGAAAGAGGTTCAGAGGGAGACCCAGAGTGAGCGAGGGCAAGAAGCTGCGTCCTTCAGGAGCACAGTGTCCCTTGGCAGAAGGGGAAGGTGTGATGGCCACGGCGGTGCAGTTCCCGTGCCCTGAGCTGTCACCTGTGTTCTGGGTTGAGTGGCGCCCCACCCATTGGTGAAGCCAGCGCTGTGGACCTTCAAGAGTCTGACTTGCACAGTGTGGGATTCCGGGCAGCCAAGTGGGCCCTGCTCCTCGTTCACCCGCCGTGTGATCTTGCGCGAGGACTTTTCTTTGCCTGGGTCTCTGTTTCCTGTGGCCTCTGAAACTATATCCAGGTTTGAGCCTGTGCTGAGTGCCTGTCACCTTATTTAAGTTATCTTCAGTCTCACACCAGTCCTGTGAAGTGGATCCTAGAGTTAGCATCCTGCTGARTTGCAGATGAGGAAACCAGGGCCTTGAGAGTATAGGCGACTTGCTGAAGATCCCACGGTAGACAGTGGCAAAACCTAGACTGCGGCTCCAACTGAAGCCCTGTTGTCTTGGACTTCAGTTCAAGTTGAGAATGAGGCTGCRTGGTGCTGGGTAAAGGTGAGTTTGTGTTTTAGGTGGGATCAAGAAGTTGCTGGTGTTGGATCTTTGGGCCTAGGAAAATGGCAGGGTCCAAGTTAAGCTTCATTCAAGCAGAAGGGACCACTGTGATGGATTTGTGAGRATACAGACAAACCCCGCCTGTGTGCCGTGGATCGCCACTCTTGGGAGTTGAGCTCTGGGCACCACAGGTTCCCTGGCTGGGGGGCAGAAAGCCATGATGGCTGGGATGCTGACACCTGCAGTTATGGACGTCTCCCACTGTGTCCATGCATGTCCATGTCCCAGGCTGGCTCTCCCACCCCTGCCCTCTCTCCAGGTGGTCTTCCTCCCTTYGCTGCTCCAGTACCCCAGTGTTAGTGCCACCACTTGGGCATCTGCAGACACAACTGCGTTTCAACAACGTGTTCTGAGAACTATTTGAATGTTGTCGGCGTTTTATCTTTGTTTTCTAAAACTGAGTGGAAGACAGAAATGACCATGACTCCTAGTGCTTCAAAACTGAAGTGCCATCAGCTCATAAAAGAGACAATCAGTTGTGCCCAAGATGCTCGGTCATGGTTTGCCACACTTGACCCGGTCAATGCTGCATAAAATTATGATGGAAAAAGAAAGAAACCACAACAACATTGAAAATGGGCGTGAAGTRCTCTAGCACTTTACGTCTTGGACACAAGCATCATGACAAGTCACGTACAGGTCTGTGGAATGCCGGGTGGCAGAAAGAGGCTATAAGTGATCTATCTGTCCTTTGCTCCCGTGACGTGGCGGGCAGACCTCTTGCCTGCTCCCATTCAAGTTCTCCCTCCTCGCTCATCCTTGACTTTTCCATTTTCCTTGTGTGGGAAATGGGGGGCTCTGCGGTGTCACCCCACTTCCTATTTGGTTCTCCTGAATGTTGGTGGGAGATAGAACATTGCAGAGCTGCCGAAGGTGGCCTTCCGAGTAGCCAGACCTGGGCCTGTCGCTGCGGGACTTTTTAGTAAATGAAAGTGTCTGTGTCTGTCSCGTGGGCACGTTTCCATGTGGGCTCGTGGGCACGTACCCGCGCCTGGCGGGAGTCACCTTCAGCAGCAGGGTGGCATTCACAGGGCCAGGCCGGTGCCCAAAGAAAGATGAGAGGGAGGGGTGGGGACTGTGAAGAAACAGGTCTGTCAGCTCCAGCTGGTTGTCACTCTGGGCCTAGGTGTCACTGGGTTTTCTGGTTTTTAAGAGAAGTTGGAAATCCAGCCTTTGTTGAGGGGGGAGAGGGTAAAATCCTTTATTTTTGTAGACTGCGGGTTCTCATCAAAGACCACCGCCCAGTTCTGCAGCTTCTAAGCTCGCATCAAAAAGGTGGCTGCTGTTTTTACTTTTGGAAGTCTGGAGATTGGAAAAGCTTGGGAACAAAATGACGATAACCAGGGAGCAGCGGAAGTGGACCTGGGAGCAAGGGGGCTACGGAAGGTCGCCAGTCATTGTCCYGCGTAGGGTTGCCCGTGCCAGTGTTTCACAGCCGAATATCGGTGCCGAGTCCTGGGGGTTCTGCGGCACCTGCCCAGATGTTTCCAAGTACAGAACCTGAGCAGCGCTTGGAAAAATCCTGTAAACACGCACTAGAGTCTCAGAGCTGCATCATCCCGACTCGGTTCCTCTCGGCCCGGGTTTCGAGGCAGCTGAGGAGCGCGCGTGTCAGCTGGTGGGGGCAGCGGACCTTGGCATTGCTCCGTGTCTGCATCTGGGTTCTCTTGAGCACTGGCCTAGGAGTCAGGACCCCAGATATTTGTCATTTGGTCCTCATGAGACTTCAGGCAGCTCCCTCTGCCCAGGGCCTTCGTCTCTCCTTCTGAACCATAATTTTATGATTCCCAAAAAATTTCATTTGGTCAGCCTTATCTCCCCACCCACCCCCCACTCCCAAATAAAAGAGATTAAGAACTGGGACTCTCTGGCCTTCCCCCTGCCCATGGGTTTGGGGGACAGAATATTTTAACATAATAGGATTTTCCCCCTCTGGTTGGTAGGAATCAATCTGCAGCTACTGTTTTATTGGAAATCCCAGCTGAAAATAAAGATGGTGCAATTCAATCTCAGATTTAACTGGTTACTTACTTTCCACCGAGTCCCCAGGGCTGTGCGCTTGCTTGGTTTGTGTTGGCAGTGGGTGCCAGGCTTAAAGGGCCCAGCGAATGGGATGGCGAGGGTTCCTGACACCCCCTTACCACCAGGGGCAGGTTTTCCCAGCCCGAGGAATGGGGTCGGGGCTTGTGGCCCGCTCGCCCGTCTGTCTGAAGCCGGTCTCCAGGGGGAGCTTGGCGGGTGGCAGTGGGTGGACCGGTGTCTTCTGCCTGGCTGATGGAGGTGTTCTGGATTTCTTTTGCAGGCTGACGGAGCCAGTGCAGCCGGAAGGAAAAGCACTGCCAGCAGGTACGACCCCTGCGCCCCAGCCCCTCCTCCTGTCCCCGGTCTTCACGACCAACAGCCACCACTCTTTGGTCCTCCCGGAAAGGTGGGATGGTCAGACCAGCCCTCTTTGCTGAGAAGTAGCCACAGCTTCCCAGAGGGTGTGAGGGTGTAGACAGCCTTTTCCATGTGCCTTCTGTGGGCCTCCAGGGCTAGAATCCAAGGATGATGCGTTTCTGACTGGCCATTGGCCCCTCCCACGGGGGAGACTTGGGGATGAAGCCCAAGGTGGGGAGCTTGGCTGCTGCAGTGTGGACTCCGGGGTGAGCTGTCCCCTCCCCCCGCATCTGCGTGTGGATCTTGTGCCCTGCGCTGGGGTCAYGCGCTTGGGTCCTGTGCTCCTCTCCCTCACTAGGTACCCCAGGTGAGGGCAGGGGGGCACTCCGAGGAGCCAGACCAGGGGTCCAACTTCACCTTGGATGCTGGGAGAAGATGGGGGAGGGGTGGCCCTCAAGGACAGCTGAGCTGTTGTCACCAGAAAGGAGAAGGAGATCCCCAGGGCCTAAGCTGGGGACGGCAACACAGGGGGCCCAGGTAAGGGCCTGGTCAGTGTTGGCACTAGTGCTGCTCCTGTCACAGTGCGGAGAGCAGAGCTGGAGTGACCAGGTGGCCTTTACTTGGGGCATGGGAGGCAGGAAGGAGGCAGCGGATGGGCAGGGAAGGTGGCTCTCTGGCACACACGTAGACTGTGGAATGGGCACTGGCCTCCCCTGCTGGACTTCAGGGCAGATTGTGAATGCCCAGCAGGAAAGCCCTCCCTGTGGCCCAGGGAACAGCAGTGCTCTAAAATGTTCCTAGAGTGTGTGGTGTTGTGTTTGGGGTRGGGGTTGGGGAATCAAGAGTGTTCTTTCTGTGGCCAAATAAATTTGGAGGTCAGTGGGTTGAGCGCAGAATCGAGTGGAGAAAGCACCAGTTCAGTCCAGCACACAGCCACTCTCTCTGGGGACACGAGCTCCAGGCCCCCTCAGTCCTGACTGCAGGTCCCACAAGTGCCTCAGAGTCAAACAGGTTTCTCTGCGGGGGGCGTTTCAGAGCCTTTGAAGAGCTCATGTTTGGGAGTCCTCGAGCTTYGTTAACTGAGGGACACTTTTCCTGAGGCTCCTGCCGTGGAGCAAGTGTTTCTTGGAACACACTTGGGGAATCCACAGATGTGTTTGGCTCTGTGCTCCAGGAAGGTCACTCTGGCAGCATTTTGCAGGGTGGATTGAAGTCCGGGACTCCAGACGCCAGGCCCTTGCCAMCCACAGGGTGCTGCTGGCCTGGCAGATGTCTTCTGTTTCAAGGCCACGTGGCCTCTGAGGTGTCTCAGCTCTGCCAGTGAGTGTGGAGGCAGCCAGGGGTGACCCACCCACGTGCACTCGGAAGGATGTCATTTGTCGGTTCTGAGACTGGATCTTGTTAGGTCCGAGGCTGTCCTTGAACTTGCGATCCTCCTGCTTCCTGAGGAGCTGGGGTTATGGGCCCATGCCACCGTGCCTGGTGGGAATGCTCATTCTGTCTTCCCCTGTTGGTGCCCTTTACCTTCCAGCCTGCGATTCCGTCCTCCCTTCAATGACGCTTTCCCCAACCTCCTTTTCAGGGCACGTGCCACCCGGCCTGTGGCCTTTGTCACCTGCCCACACAGCTGAATTATTTGCATGTGTGTGGTTTTCCCCTTCCCTCTGGGAGTGGCAGCTTCCCAGGGCAGGGGCCATGTCTGTCTTGGGCATCGATGTGGGCCTGGACCCTGGTAGGCCTGCAGATGTCAGTGGCAACCTGGGTGCCCAGCGTCCTGTGTCCTGGACCCCTGGTGGAGGAGTCCCTAGAGTGGTCAGCGGTGGGTGGAGGCACTTGGTGGACCTGAAGTCAGGACTAGAAGTCCTGAATGGTGTCCCCACCCTGTCACTGTGCTTGTGGACCAGGGGAGGGGCTGCTCAGGGTCCTGAGGGGAGAAAGTGGCTGTGTGCTTGACAGCCGGTGCTTTCTCCACTCGATGGTGGCCTCGGGCCAGGGTCTGGCCCACCACTGTCCTTCCTGCTGTGTTCGTTGGGCACTCGCTCTGTGTGCTGTGGGCTCCGCTGGCCAGATGCTAATGTCTTCACCCAGGAGACGTGTTAAGAGTGTGTGGGTGGTGGGCACAGTGGCAGGTCCACAGCAGTGAGCCACAAGATGAAGGTCCACCTCATCCCAGTTGTGGGAGGTCCTCACCTGACCCTCTGCTGCCTGAGTCTCTCATAGGGGCTCTTCCTGGTGGTGGCGGGCAGAGGACAGCAGGCAGGTTTTCCAGTGGTGCTCGTGGCTGCCCAGAGCTGCTGGGTGAGTGTTCCCAGTCCAAGGCTGCAGTCCACGGGGACGAGTGCGGAGGTTGATTAGAGATGCCTGCTGGTCGGGGCAGGGGAAGGGGGCCATGTGTGCCGTCTCTTCTCTGAGGAGCCTGGGCTCTCCACCGCAGGTACGTAGTGACTGAACCCGTGCCATTGCCACGGGGCTGTAGTGCCCACCAGGAAGGCAGCACAAACCTGAGGGTTGGGTGTGACAGAAGTGTGAAAGCACAGTTGCCTTGAATGACGACTGTCATTTACCCTGGCTCCACGTCCAGTTCTGAGCTGAGTGGTTTGCACGTAGTCATTCATTTATTTATTGGGTGTCGTCTTCACAATGACCCTGCCAGGGAGGTRTTCGCAGCATTCCCACTTATAGACAGGGAAGGCGAGGCGCAGGGGTCCGCGGGGCTCAGGCTGCTTCCCAGTCTGGATCCTTGGGTGTGTGGCCTGCACTTCCCTGCTGCCCCCTCCTGCTTGTCCATGTGGAGTCAGCAGTTGACAGTTCCAGGAGCCCCTGAGGGGCCGGGGACTGTCAAGGAGGTTGGGCTCTGGGGGTGCTCCCGGGTGAGTATGTTGTGATTGTGGGAGTAAAACCAGTAGCATTCTCTGAAAGGCCATCTCTGCGTCCTGAGGAGTGAAGGACACACTGAGGCTTCTGGAGAACTGCAGCAGTGGCCCTAGCCTTGCCACTAGTGGCTTTGACGCCCCCGGGTGGCTTTAGACCGGGGGATGCTCTGTAGGGCTTCAGAGCTCTTTAGTCTCCGTTTCTGATGAGAACCGGAGGTGTGGAGGCTCCCCAAAGTCAGAGTGAGGCTGGAGGGCCACGGGCAGGAGTGACCTGGGAGGACCCCCGTCCGGTCGGGCCTGGCTCCGGTCGGGCCTGGCTCCGGTCCTGCCTTGTTGCCCTGTTATTACACCCGGCGCTGCTTTCATCCCGCGCCGCCTTTTGGCCTGGAACACACAATTTTGTTATTTCTCCAGAGGGCCTCTGGCTGGACCCCAAGACCAACAGCATGGGCTGCGAAGGAATCAGTGTTACATGGAGGGGACAAGGAGAGGTGTGTTCTGGATCTGAAGGACAGCCGAGCGTGGCCTGGTTCACTTCCCTGTAACCCAGCCTGGGCGGATTTTACAAGACCAGGGACCCAGCACCCGGGGTCRGGGGTGACCTGGTGTGCAGGTCACAGCTCACATGGCCAGGTGGCCTCCGAGCCTCGCTTACTCCAGGGCTTGGGCCTGGGGCCTCTGCGGGGAGGAGTTCTGAAGGAGTTGCTGTTGCCGTCAGGTTCGTGCAGTTGCAGGCTCCAGGGAGGAAGAGCGATGCCGTCTGTGAGCTGGAGGCCTGGGGCRGAAGGGCTCTGCCAGTTGTCCAGTCCCACTCTCTGATTTTAGAGCAGAGAGGTCATGTGATCCCTTGCTCCCTGGAACATTCTAGCTGCCTAACATGAGACAGGATCCTATAAATGGGAGGTTGGAGGGAGAAGATGATGAACCAAGTCTCATGCATTCACTTCACAGGTATTTACAGAGGGCCTACTAAGCGCCACGTTCTGCCTTCGGTGCCAGGGATACAGCACTGAACAGAACAGAAAGCCCTGCCCCTGTGGAGTGGTGTCCTGGGGAGGGGGACAGATGACAGTGTAATATTGGACAGCCTAACAGGCACGGTCCCTAAGCCACGTTGCTTGTTGTTTAATTAAACAGAAGGGGGGAGATGTTGAGGGCCACAGCCCAGTCGGGATGACGCATGGCATTTTTGCCAGAAGTGGTGGTTGAGAGGTGACGCTAGCGAGCCATTAAGATGATGACTTTTGAGTTCTGGCGGAGTTCCCGTTGAGTTCTGCTTGAGCTCTCGCGAGGATTCCTGGAGAGTTCCCATTGGTTGGGGAAGTGCCGGAGGAGGGATATTTCCTGTGGCTGGTTCCTGGAGAAGCCACGTGGCATTCGGCAGATTTCCCAGGAGCTTGTGTGGAGTGTGCTGGTGGAGTTCAGAAATAAAGTTTGTTCCTGCTTCAGTRGCTCCTGATTTGTGCCAGCAGTGAGTGTCTGGAAGGCGGTCTCCAGGCCTGAGGGCTCCGGATTGAAGCCCACGTCCAGAAAAGCACAGCCTCCTGTTCCGTCCTAGGATGGCCCCAGACTGGGGTGGCCTTCCCTCCAGAGCCCCCACTCCCTGCCCTCTCTGCCTGATCTGCTGGGCATCTTCCTCACTTCTCCAGCTTGGCCCAGAGAGGAAGAGCTCAGACAGCCTGGGTGCAGATCCTGGTGCTGCCCGTGGCCTGGTTGTGTGACCTCAGTTGGTCACATAGCCTCTCTGCCTGTCAGTTTCCTCATCTGTAAAACAGGGATTGTGTCACTAGGACCACCTGCTGTCAGAGGACTAAGTCTACTTACAGTGTGTGTACCTGCACACAGTGCCTGGACCATAGTAGGTGTTCAGTAAACACTTTCATCACCACCATGTGGGCTGGATTCCTGGGAGAGGGCAGCCGTGGGTGACAGTTGGTTTCTCAGGGAGCCTGGACACAGGGAAGAGAGTGGGGATGGAGCATACTGATTGCATTGCTGCGGCAGCGAGGAAAGGTGCTAGGACATTGGCTGTACACTGCCTGAGGTCGGGGCCCCTGGGAATGTGGAGCAGAGAGTGATGATATGTTGGCATGA